CAGCATTCTATATTATGTTGATATATGTATATATAATATTCAAACTAAAACAAAAATATGCCATTCACTTTTTGAAACAAATAAAAACTTTTAAATATTTTTATATTTATTATTAAATTATTATTAATATTTTTTTCGTTTTCATATAAATTTTATAATAATTCAGTTCAACCTTAAAATAAATGTTCCGCTTGATTTACCATTACAATTTCTTTAATGAAATATATCTACATATTAATACATTATAAGCTTATAACATTGTAGGTACAATTAGAAGTCTATATATATTCCGTAACGATAAAAATGCTAGAATATAGCATTTAATTGCGAAAATGCAGCACTTTTAGTAAAATGTACATGGTGAAATTGTATTATTTTTTATTTAAGCACATGCACGCGTCAATATAGTTTCCAAAATTTTCGTCTATATTAATTTATTAAATAAAATCGGTGATTTATATCCAAAAAAAAAATATTTCAATTTTAATTAAATTATTTCTGCGCTATATTTCAGAATCGAACTAAGTGAATTAGCTCAACTCTTATCTGATTTTAACTAGAGATTGATTTTATTTATATTTCATTTATATGATTTATATTTTATTTTATTTATTTATATGTAGTTATAGTATCGATGGTGGTAATCACCGTATTTTTCGCTCTTTGCATTGTTATTTGGAAAACCATTTTCCAAAAAGCAAATGCGATTTTAGTTACTAATAATTTTGGAATAGTGAAACCTGTGGTACCAGTTTGCAAGATGGTGATCACATAAGTTAATAATTACATGTTTTTCATTTAATAATTTTACTTTTATAACAATAAATAATCTTTTAAAATGGTTAGTAAGTTTGTAACTACAGCGTAGTGAAGATATTTCGGAACTATGTTGCTAAAATCAACTTGGTGTGCCTTTGTAATGCAAAATTTCGTTTAGATAATATTTATTATTTCGTTTAGATAATATTTATATTTATTCATTTTTAATTAAAGATTTTACGACTTGCATTCTTCTCAGTTGTGGTGAAGCTTAGCAGACAACACCCACAGAACGCTGCGACATCTCAAGCTCAACTTGAAACTGATAAACATTTATATGAATTAAAGTGAGTTGTAAATTTTTTTTTCGTTGTTTGATATAATAAATGATATAACATCCTTTAAGTATTGAACTGCCAGATAAGAGCTTTCGAAATGAAACTGCAAGTTTACAGATATCTGATAATTCCAAAGATCTATCTGTTACTGGATTGATAGGAATAAATTTTATAAAGACGAACACAATAGGTAAATGGGCTTACATTGCGGATAAGAATGGATTTGTCGTTCGTTATATTTATAAACAGTTAAAGGCTACTCAACAAGATCCTAGCTATTCTTCAACAACATATCGCCCAACTCCACCACAATATTTACCAGCACCACCACCACCAAAGTCTTTAAGTCCGAATGCTTTAAAAAGTGCTGGTGGTTAAAGATGTAGGGCAGTGATATAACATAGTTAACATGAATTTATTTAAGCAACTCTTATCTGTATCTTGTTCTAGGAGCTCGAGAAAGGCACAAAGATCTTGATATATTTTCGTAAAATTAATTTAAGTTAAAATTTATTAATGCAGTATATATAAAATAACAATAAATACTTACAGTATATACAATAAAATATAAAAGAATATTTAATTAGTTTCACAATAAAACATTTAATCTCAACAATAGCAGACATACTTCCGAGATGCAGGCGCTTATTTCTCCTTAATTAAATAAATTTAAATAATTTCTATAAATTTTCTTGATTATAAGTAACCAATTCATTTAAAATATTAATTGCATTCTTAAAAACAACTATATGTTAGTATTTCAGTATTGTGCATTAAAAAACCAGTCATTGTCTAGCATTTTTACGTTTTCAAGTTTAAATCTTTATGAATTAACTTGGATGTGGTCAATGCAATTGGCATTTAAAATATTTTTCACAGTCTTTTCTCTAAGCGCACAGTACGCAGAAGATTCTTTCTATACCCATGTGAGACTAGGTCGTCTTTAGGTGAACAGGTTTTTTAAAATAAAATTTATTTAAAATCGAATAATTGTGATTTAAAGAAACATAATTTCTTATAAGAAAAAACTATGGGTTGAAGTCTTCAGTAGTTTTCTAATCATTACGTAGTGAAGACATACAAAGATCATGGTTCTGAAATTTGCTTGGTGTGCTTTAGTAATGCAAAATTTATTCTGTTACTCCTATACTTACTTTTTTTTACTTAAAGATTCTACAAGTTGCACTTTTCTTCTTTCTTTCGGTAAAGTTTAATAGACAAAACCCACAGAGGAGTACTAGGAGTATAGTACCTAAAGTTCAATTTATTATCTAATAAAAATGAATTTTATTGCGAAGTTTTTATTTGTAATTTTGAATAATGATATATGTTTTCAGTTACCTAATAGTTCCAAAGAAGATTTATCTATTACTGGATTCATTCAAATAAATTTTATAAAAACGAATGCAATGGCAAACTGGACTTATACTGCGGATAAGAATGGATTTTTAGTTCGTTATATCTACAAGCAGTTGAAACACACTGAACAGCTTTTAAGCAATACTCCTCCAACTAGGCGACGTATTATAGGTTCAAGACCATGTTCAGGAACATACTCATCATTCACTTCGACGTTACGATGTGCCACAACTTTAAGCGCGGAAGCTTTAAAAACTGCTGCTGGTTAAGAATGTAAAATATTGATGCATTTAAGCTCCGGAATAATTTTTAAAAATTTTTAATAATTTATTTTATATTGAAATTTTTAAGCACAACATAATGAATTAAAAATAATATAAAAAAAAATATTTTAATAATCTTAACATTAATCACAATTTTCATTCTAGTCTCTATAAATCTAAAGACATGATAAAATCCAACTATATTAAAAATTAAATATCAAAACAATATAATTTAAAATTCTTGAACTATAATAAATACAAACATATTTCAAATAGATCTACCAAAGTATAGTTGTAATACGTCGCCTAGTTGGAGGAGTATTGCTTAACAGCTGTTTAGTTTGTTTCAACTGCTTGTAGATATAATGAAGGCATAATCCATTATTATCCATTATTATTCATATGTGTGAACCCAGTAATAGATAAAGCTTCTTTGGAACTAATGTGTAGATACTTGAAATTTTCCAATTTCATTCCGAAAACTATTATCACGCAGTTGTATTTCGAAACAAGCATTATTATGCATAATTTTGAATAACAACTTCATAGCAAAATTTAATTCATATAAATTTTTATTAGAATTTATTGCGTTTTGTCTACTAAACTTTATCAAAAGACAGAAGACAAGTGCAACTCTTAAAATCCCTATTAAGTAATAGAAGTTAGAGTAAGAAGACTAGAATAAAGTTCACATAACTAAAGCTCAACAAACAACCATGAAATTCGAAAACCATGATCTCCAAATGTCATCAAAACGAAATGATTAGGAATCTACTGAACATCTTAATTGATCATTTTTAATTCACAAAAAATTAAGTTTGCTTAAATCTCAATTATTTGATTTTAAATAAATTTTATTTTAAAAAACCTGTTCACCTAAAGACGACCTAGTCTCACATGGATATAGAAAGAATCTTCTGCGTACTGTGCGCTTAGAGAAAAGACTGTGAAAAATATTTTAAATGCCAATTGCATTGACCACATCCAAGTTAATTCATAAAGATTTAAACTTGAAAACGTAAAAATACTAGACAATGACTGGTTTTTTAATGCACAATACTGAAATACTAACATATAGTTGTTTTTAAGAATGCAATTAATATTTTAAATGAATTGGTTACTTATAATCAAGATAATTTATAGAAATTATTTAAATTTATTTAATTGAGGCGCGTGCATCTCGGAAGTATGTCTGCTATTGTTGAGATTAAATATTTAATTCTAAAACAAATTAAATATTCTCTTATATTTTAATGTATATAGCAAATATTTATTGTGAATAATGATATATATACTACATTAATAAATTTTATCTTAAATTGATTTTACGAAAATCTATCAAGATCTTTGTGACTTCCTCGAGCTCCTAAAACAAGATACAGATAAGAGTTGCTTAACTTAAAGTGATGTTAACTATGTTATATCACTGCCCTACATCCTTAACCGCCAGCACTTTTTAAAGCAGTCGGACTTAAAGACTGTGGTGGTGGTGGAGGTAAATATGGTGGTGGAGTTGGGCGATAGGTTGCTGAAGAATATTTATAACGAACGGCAAATCCATTCTTATCCGCAAGGTAAGCCCAATTTCCTATTGTGTTCGCCTTTATAAAATTTATTTTTAGGAATCCAGTGACAGATAAATCTTTGGAATTATCAGATATCTGTAAACTTGCAATTTCATGTCGAAAGCTCTTATCTGGCAATTCAATGCTTAAAGGATGTAATATCATTTATTATATAAAACAACGAAAAAAATTCACAACTCACTTTAATTCATATAAATGTTTATCAGTTTCAAGTTGAGCTTGAGATGTCGCAGCGTTCTGTGGGTGTTGTCTGCTAATCTTCACCACAACTGAGAAGAGTCCAAGTCGTAAAACCTTTAATTAAAAATTAATAAATATGGATATTATCTAAAAGAAATGAGTTTGCATTACAAAAGCACACCAAATAAATTTTTCCGAAATATCTTCACTACGCTGTAGTTATAAAGCTACTTACCATGAAGGTATTATTTTATTTAAATTTACAGTTAAAGTTTCAAAGGTGGTAATCGTTGTATTTTTCGCTCTTTGCATTGTCAACTGGGAAACGACTTCTTCAAAAAGCAAATGCGTTTTTAGTTAATAATAATTTTGGGATAGTAAAACTTGTGGTACCAGTTTGCAAGGTGGTAATTACATAAGTTATATTTACATTATAATTATTTAAAAATTTTATTTTTATAAGAATAAATTATCTTCAAAAATGTTTAGTAATTTTGCCACTACCGTGTAGTGAAGACATTTCAAAATCATGATTCTAAAATTTACTTGGTGTGCTTTTGTAATGCAAACTCGTTTCTTTTAGATAATATTTATATTTATTTATTTTTAATTAAAGATTTTACGAGTTACACTCTTCTTAGCTGTAGTGAAAATTAGCAGACAGCACCCACAGAACGGTGCAACATCTCAAGCTCAACTTGAAACTGACAAAAATTTATATGAATTAAAGTGAGTTGTGAATTTTTTTTTTCGTTTTTTGTTACAATAAATAATGACTACGTTTTTCAGTATAAAATTACCAGATAATGGCTTTAGAAATGAAATTGCAAAATTTCAGACATCTGAAAGTTCCAAAGATGATCTATCTGTTACTGGATTCATAGAAATAAATTTCGTAATATCGAATGCAATCGCGAACTGGTCTTATACTGCCGATAAGAATGGATTTTTAGCTCGTTATATCTACAAACAGTTAAAGGATACTCAACAATATTCTAGCTATACTTCAACAACCTTTCGTCCAACTACACCATCAACAACTTACACCACGCCAACATATCCGACAACCAGAACACCAGCAACATATAGACCCCCAACACAGTCTTTAAGTCCGAATGCTTTAAAAAGTTCTGGCGGTTAACATAGTGAACATAGGTAACATAGTTCACATGAATTTAAGTCAAGTAACTTCTATTTTTATCTAATCTTTTGGGGACTTAAGGAGGATATAAGGATTTTTGATATTTTGGTAGTAACAATTTAAATTGAACTTTAATAAATGTAGTATGTATAGCATTATTTACAATACAATATTTACACTATATGCAATACAATAAAATACAATATTTAATCAGTTTCCATATCGTATCAATGTTAATATTAGATTTTACATATAATAATAAAATATAAAAAAAAATTGTGAAAAATCAATAAGAGGTAATGTTTTTATAGAAACTAATAAAAATAGGTCTTGTTTTGTTCTCGCACTACTTGTGGTTTATAAATATTTGTAACACCAATTGACCATAGGAGGCTCATTTTTTGCAGAGATGAGAAACAGGTTAGGTTTTACCAAAATTAAAGACATGACCTAAATTTACAAGCTCGGACAGCCTAGCACATCTAAATAATTGTGGTGCCTTTTTATAAATCAAATGACCGTAATGATGTAATAGAAGTGTCGTATTTAGGTGGATGGTGTTCAATGAAGAAATTCCGCCATTGAAATTATAGATAATAAAAACTATATAGTTCAGACATATTTTTGAGTGTAT